ATTCTGCAATCATTTTGAAAATCTTTCTCGAACAGAGCTATAGTGTCCCTAGGTATCAGCATATAAATTTGAATTAAGAAAAATGGCAACCATTTTGAAATTCAGCTGCCATTTTGAAAATTCTTCCTCGAACAGAGCTACTGTGTCCCTACTGTGTTTGCTGGTATTAGAGTTATCAAAATTTTATGGGTTTTTTTACGAAAAATGGCCACCATTTTTAAATTCAGTGGCCATCTTGAAAAATCATTTTTGAACAAAGCAACTGTGTCCCTAGCCATCATCATATAAAATTTCAAAATTTTGTGCAAAACTCCTTTGTCCCTAGGCATCAGCATATAAAATTTGAACCAAATCCGCAAACTAGTATTTGAGTTATTAAAGATTACATTTTTTACGAAAAATGGAGGCCATTTTGAATTCAGTGGCCATATTGAAAATTCCTTCTCGAGCAGAGGTCCTACACCCATAAGCAAGGCTTAAAGTTTTCCGGATTTTCCGGCTAGTTCCGGTACTTTCAGACCGAAATTTGACCCCCGTGAGATCAGTGCAAATCCAGGTTGATATCAGAGGGGGGTATGGGTTGATCTGAAGCCCAAATAAGTTGAAAACTTGAGGAAAAAATCGTTTAATTGCGGGCCCCAAAACAGCTGATCAGCTGATTCACGTGTGATTTGTTATTTAATAAATAGGTCAGTTTCATAAATTATGTGGAACACGAAGCAATCTTACCATCTAGTCTGCATTATTACGACGAGAACTATTGACTTCGATTCGCTAAAGCGAGTTATCTTGAATTTGATTGGCTTAAAGATATGACTAATCTGACGAATCAACCAATGAACGTAACCGTTATGAACACCGGCGGGCTAGCGCTAAAGGGAAACTTTTTGAAATTTTTCTAATCTGTCTTATTTCTGCCAGATATCGATAAAATAAGGACACGATGTGAAGTCACAGAGAACAGAGATGTAAGGTATGTCATTAAGAATAAGACAGATCCAGCCCAGTTATCAAATTAAAAAAATACAAAAATGCAATAAACAGATGTGAACATTTTATTCAATGTACTTTCACCAGAAGGCTCTAGAAGCCACCAGAGGGCACCAATTTTCAAAATTTTATAGGCTTATGCCTTATACAAGGCTTAAAGTCTGTGAAATTTTTTTACCTGAAACTATCCGAATGCTGGGCGAAAGGCTTGTGCGTAGCCCTGAGGGGGGTTTGGGTGGGTTCTCCCCCCAAGAAAATTTTGAAAATTGGTGCCCTCTGGTGGCTTCTAGAGCCTTCTGGTGAAAGTACATTGAATAAAATGTTCCCTTCTTATATAGGCATTTCATTATTTTAAGCTGTAATTAGTCTATATCTTGTATTTTACACTTCAAAAATTTTTTTTTTCCCATTGACATAACATGGGCCACCAAATTAAGCGATTTTTGAGCTTTCAAAATATCATAACTTCCGAACCAGAAGTCGGATTGAAATTTGGTTTGCAGATTCGGATTCCTGAGAAAATTCTATACTTAATTCATAACTCAAACGTCAAATTTGGAGAATTTTTAATTTTGACCTACTTTCCGGACACCATATCTGAAAAGTGGGGCAAAATACTTTCTGACGGCAAAAGCCTAACACTATTAGCACACTCTTGGCTACATGTATACAAAATTTCGAAGAATATAATTAATCTGTAGTGTCAGAATCGCAAAAATAAGAAAAAACTTTGAATTTGACCTAGATTCGGACCTAGGCATTTTGATGTCCAAATTTTAAAGCTAGATGTCTTTTGAGGTCCCCTTCTTTTAAAAGCTTTCATTATATTTAGCTGAACTCAGTCTATATTTCGTATTTTTCACTTTTCACAAAAAATCTTTTTTCCCATTGACTTAACATGGGCACCAAATTTAGCTTTCAAAACGCCATAACTTCCTAACCAGAAGTCTGATTTGAATTTGGTTTTCAGATTCGGAATCCTGAGAAAATTTCCTATAAGACTAATATCCTGGACATTTGATTCGAAGAACTTTTTCTTGGACCTCGTTTTCGGACACTGATATCTCGAAATCGGTTTGAGATATCAAAAAACTAAATCGACCTTAGGTTTCCTACTTCTTTATAAGGAACACAATGAAAAAAAACCGGATCGAAAATATTGAAGGACGACCGAGAAAATCGAAAAAAGTGACAAAGTACTGGATTTGACCTAGTTCTTGACCTTTGACCTAGATGAAAATTTGACCCAATTTCCGAGAAACTAGATACTGAACCTTAATTGACCAAATGATTGACTTTACTGAAGACCTTATGGTTATTGAGAAAACTGGTTTAGAATAATAATAAGAATAAGAATAAGAAAACTGACGAAAACAATAGACTCCAGATTTCATCTGGAGTCTAATAATGAATAATAATAAGAATACTGACAAAAACAATAGACTCCAGATTGACATCTGGAGTCTAATAAATTTTAACTCATAGCTCTTGATCAATGAAACTATTCATATTCTAGGTACAAGTCAATGAATACGACTTTGACAAACTAAAAAAAAGACTAAGGATCTCTAGGACAGTGTCCAGCATAATCATACAGATTGTTTGAAATATGTTGGAATGTGTGACCTTCCATGAAAAGTAGGATGCATTTCTAGAGCACTTCTACAGAATAGTCCACAGTCTATTAAGTAAAATGGTTGAAATATAATTTTTTGCTAATTATTTGTAACAAAATTATTTCATACAACTACTCTTGAATCCCTATTTTATGGCTCTGATCACACATAAAAATGAATAAAAATAGTACCGTGGGTACTGGGCTCACATGGTGTTGCTCAAAAGTGAAAGATGGCTAAAATGACAGAAAATAAAAAAACGATATAATTTTTTGCTGATATAAGCCACTTGCCACTATTTGGACTGACTGAGAGACAGATGGACAAATCAATGTTAAGTAAAATGGCTGAAAAAAACCTTTTTGAAAAAATTATTTCATACAACTACTCTTTACAGTGACATGGCTTTTTGCAATGCAGGACAACTGAAATTATTTGTAAAGCTAGGAAATGGGCCAAAATTGAATTTCGCGAGACAAAAATGGGGACCATTTTGAAAATCGCAAGCTTTTGAACCAGGAGTCATAGGGGAATTTTTTGTATTGATGTTGAACAAAAATAACTTGAAACTGGAATCCTATCGACAGAGGCTTTAAGCAAATGGTCCAAAAGAGGATTTCGCGAGACAGATGGACAAATCAATGTTAAATAAAATGGCTGAAAATAAAAAAAACGGATATAATATTTTGCCGATTTTTTGTAACAAAATTATTTCATACAACTACTCTTTACAGCGACATTGCTTTTTACAATGCAGGACAGCTGAAATTGTTTGTAAAGCTAGGAAATGGGCCAAAAGTGAATTTTGCGAGACAAGAATGGAGACCATTTTGAAAATAGGCGAGCTTTTGAACCAAGACATCCTTACTTGTAAAATACCCTTGCAGCAAGGATGAACCAAGAGTCATAGGAGAGTTTTTTTGTATTGATGTTGGCAAATCGTCCAAAAGTGGATTTTGCGAGACAGATGGACAAATCAATGTTAACTAAAATGGCTGAAAATAAAAAATGGATATAATGTTTTGTTGATTTTTCGTAACAAAATTATTTCATACATCTACTCTTTACATTGACATGGATTTTTACAATGTAGGACACTTGAAATTATTTGTAAAGCTAGGAAATGAGTCAAAAGTGAATTTCGCGAGACAAAAATGGCGGCCATTTTGAAAATAGGCGAGCTTTTGAACCAGGAGTCATAGGGGAGTTTTCTGTATTGATGATGAACAGAAATAACTTAAAACAGGAATCCTATCGACAGAGGTTTTAAAAAGTGCCACTGTTGTTGACAGAATAGTAGATTTTGCGAGTCAGATGGACAAATCAATGTTAACTAAAATGGCTGAAAATAAAAAAAATGGATACAATTTTTCCCTGATTTTTTGAAACAAAATTATTTCATATATCTACTTTTTACATTGACATGGATTTTTACAATGTAGGACACCTGCAATTATTTGTAAAGCTAGGAAATGGGTCAAAAGTGAATTTCGCGAGATAAAAATGGCGGCCATTTTGAAAATAGGCGAGCTTTTGAACCGGGAGTCATAGGGGAGTTTTCTGTATTGATGATGAACAGAAATAACTTAAAAATAGGAATCCTATCGACAGAGGATTTAAAAAGTGCCACTGTTGTTGACGGAATAGTAGATTTTGAGAGTCAAATGGACAAATCAATGTTAACTAAAATGGCTGAAAATAAAAAAATTGATATAATTTATCGCTGATTTTTTGTAACAAAATTATTTCATATATCTACTCTTTACATTGACATGAATTTTTACAATGTAGGACACCTGAAATTATTTGTAAAGCTAGGAAATGGGTCAAAAGTGAATTTCGCAAGACAAAAATGGCGGCCATTTTGAAAATAAGCGAGCTTTTGAACCAGGAGTCACAGGGGAGTTTTCTGTATTGATGTTGAACAGAAATAACTTAAAACAGGAATCCTATCGACAGAGGTTTTAAAACGTGCCACTATTGTTGACGGACGGACGCACGCATGGATGCACGGACAGACAGACAGACAAGTGAGTAATTGCAAAAGCTCACCATGTGAGCTAACAATACATATGTAGTCTTCAACATGTCCCATATATACAACAAATTGTTGTTAACTGGTTTTGAATTATCTTCTTTAAGTATACTATAAGCTGGAAATATGTCTTTTTCACCAATTTTGATGCATTTTCTAGGTTATAAAAAGACAACAAACATGGGTTGCTTAGCAACCATGTCACACACTAACCAATCATCTGTTAGGAGAATAAATGATATATTTTGGCTTCCCAATGGTCAAACTTTCATTTAAGAAAAAAGTTTTGAAATATAAAATTTGACTTTGACCCTCCGATGGTGTCCTGCCCCCTTTACAAATAGTGCCTCTTAACTGACCTCAGCTGATGATTGGCTTCACTGCGAATCTGCAGAATCTCTTTTCCCTTGGCATCTAGCTCATGTGACATCTTATCTAAACCTATCTGAAGGGAGTTCACGTCACCTTCGAGACTGGTAATATGACGCTCACGATGTCTTATCTCTTGTTGAAGCTCTTCAGATTTCATCTGGTGCTCAGACTCCTATAGTGAATATAGTATAGTAAAGATACAAGTATATCATTTTTCAGAAGTTGATTGAATTTGTTCTTTATTTACCCATCAATTGCCACTATTTCGCCATCAGACAAGACTGCTAGAAATCATTTCTCAAAACCACCACATATAAAATATAAAAAAAATTAGTCCGTTACTTCTGGAATTACAGCAAAAAATATCAAATGATTTGGATATAAAATAAAATCCATCATTTTTCAAATGGCTGCCTTAGAAGCAAGTTATCAAAAAGAAAAATACTGTTATGCTTCAAAGTTTTTCCATATAAAAATATAAAAAATCACTCTACTACATTTCAAGTTAAAGTAAAAACTAGATGACATACTAGCCTTGCCCAAGTCGGTATTTTTTTACTTATCTGATCTTGAATTTTTTTTTTTTTTTTTTTCTTTTCAATATAGTTTATTTCAGTTTTTTAAAGTAAGTACAGATACAGTAGTAATAAATCAATTACAATCTTATCATATTCCATTTGTTTTTAAAAAATACATTTTTGCGTACATAAATTTCGAATTTTAGAGTTTTAACAATTCCTTCAAAATTCCGTTTTATTCCATTATTTAATTCTTGGATGTATGCTTTATAGATCACAAATGTTACAATACTAATAAAATAGTTCAAAAATGCAGTCTGGTTGTCATTTCCATTATAGCCTATTATCAACTTTCTATATGTTATTTTTAAACCTGATATATATTAAAGATATATTTCCAAACATTTTGGGAGAGTGTACATGTGAAAAGCAAATGTTTTAATGTACATACTTCTCCGCACAAACTGCAATTATATGTTTCACTTTTTCCATATAAATGTAAGTCATTTAGACTAGGAAGGATGTTGTTTATAATCTTATAGTTGAAATTAGCTATCTTCTTTTCTTTACATTTTATCTTTGTAAAAAAAAAGTTTTCCCAATTTATTTCATCGAAGGTTTCATTATTTAAGAAGCAAAATTCACGTTCCCATTTCTTTTTCATGAACCATTTTTCAGATTGCTTATTTTTCAAAATTTCATAAAAGAATTTTGATTTTTGATCTCTAATTTGGAATAAAACATTATTTGCTTTCAATCTGTAATTTGGAATGTTTGTGTATTTTGCTTTATTGACATCAATAAAACCTCTTGCAATATTCATACTTGAGTTAACTTGATAAAATTCAGAAATCCAATTTTGTTTTTCCTGTAACTTTTGAAAAATGTGGTTGATATCATTAAATGTATCCTCTATTATTAGATCCTTTACATAGACAATACCACTTTCAATCCAATTTCTAAAATACAGAGTTTTTTGTTTACAGTAAACAAACTATTACCCCATATAGTCTCTTGCAGGATATCACATGTTTTCATATTTTCAAGATTTTTTTTGTCTTTACATTTGGCATGAGCACATAATACTTGCTGATAAAAAATTGGTATTTTCTGAAAGTATTGCAAATCAAAACTATTCATTTTCAATAATACATCAAAATCATTTACAATATTATCAAAATAGAGATATGGTATTTTATTCATCATTTGTTTTTTATCATATAACCTTGGAATCCAAGCAGCTTTTAGAGCATGCAATTGAGATTCAAAGTCTATCATGTTAAGTCCACCTTTTTCTAATGAATTTATAATAATAGTTCGCCTTATTTTATCTTTTCCATCCCAAAGGAATTTATAAATTATTGTATTAACTCTTTTTACAATTTCATTATCATATTGAAGTATTGATGCTGCATAAATCAATTTTGGAAGGGCGATTGATTTTATCACTGTTATTTTTCCAATTAATGTTAAATTCCTCTTTTTCCAAGAATCTAATACTTTCTCTAATTTTGTTATCCTGTTCAGCCAATTTAGCTCATAACATTTGTCTTTATCATGTCCAATAAAAATGCCAAGAGTTTTTACCGGCTCATTGCTAAATTTTATATTTGCAAAGTTATTTTCATTCACTTTACTTCTACCTTACCAAATTCCTTCAGTTTTGTCTATATTTAGTTCTAATCCAGAAACATAAGAGAATGATTGAATCGTTTGAATTGCTTGCAATATTGAATCTTTGTCTTTTAAAAATAAATTAGCATCATCTGCATATTGAGAGAGTTTATATTCATTATTGTTTATTTCAATGCCTTTTATGTTAATATTCTGTTTTATTTTAAGTGCAAGGACCTCTGTGCACATAATAAATGCCAAAGCAGATACTGGACAGCCTTGCCGACAGGATCTTTGCATGTGTATATTTTCAGAAAACCATCCATTTTGTTTTATAGTTACCATTGGTTTTACATAGAGTATTTTTATCCACTTAATAAACTGTTCAGGAAAATTGAATTTTTTGAATGTTTCAAAGATGAAATTCCACTCGATACTATCAAAAGATTTTTTAAAATCAATGAATAAAATAGCGCCCTCTTTTTCATAATTTCAGCATATTCATAAATATCAAGCGTAAGTCGACAACTATTTCCAATAAAACGATTATTTATATAGGCAGTCTGCTGAGACCCAATTATTTTTGCAATTACTTTTTGCATTCGCTTTGCCAAAATAAAAGCTAGTATCTTGTAGTCTGTATTAGAGAGTGAGATAGGTCTAAAGTTTTTCAAAAGTATCCCTATCTCCTTTTTTAAAAAGTAAACTAATTATAATTTTTCTAAAAGATGGTGGCAGTATGCCAGTTTCATAGGATTCATTTATAGCATTTATAACATACAAACTAACATCCTGCCAAAAGAACTTGTAAAAATTAGATGTAAGTCCATCTGACCCAGGAGATATATTTAACTTCATATTTTTTATCACTGTTAAGCATTCTTCATTTGTTACTTTTCCAATCAAAAAGTTTTTGTCATTTTCATCTAATATTTTGGGAAAATTAATGCTATTAAAGTATGTAACAAGCTCTTCGTTAGTGCAAGCTTTAGATTTATACAATTCTTTATAGAAGAGAACCTCCTCTTTCATGAAAAATGATCACAATGGTATGTGTTATATATAACAATGCTATATTTGAGAAAATGCACAGGGAAAGATTCAATCCTTATAGACACAGGTCCTTTTAGCAAAATTCAAGAAATTTGATTTTGAGATTTCTTGAAATTTATTTGGGGTAGGGGTACACCTTACAGTTTGCATCACAGATTGAGTACACCAAACTGAGGTGAACATGGCCATATGGGGTATCATTGGAAAGCGATTTCTACTATCTTTCGAGTGATATCCATGTCAAGGCGTTCAATTGCATATTATGACGTCATAACGGTAGGGAGAAACAAAGGTTCATTCAAAACTGCCCAGAAGACAATTGAATGGCACCGGAAAATGGAATTCGGGGTACTTGGCACAATGGCCTCGCCCCCAAAACACCAAAGTTGCTTCAAAATGTCACGATTTTGGTACCATTGTTCAGCTAAGATACCGTCCTTTAATATGATATGCGCTATTAGGCTTTTTAATGAACTTAAAAATCTCAAAAGGGGACAAAACCTACAAAATACCCCAAAAATGCGCCTTCTAATAGGTTGAAGATTACAGTAGCGTTTCCCATAGGTGGCCATTATAACATTTTACCCTGTATCTTATTAACGACTAGTATCCAAGCCTAGTGCAACATACCACGGTGTTCGGGAGAGACTCGCCTAGCCTGCTATAACAATCTTACCATGGGTTGTCCACCGAATTTTTGAGATAAATAAACTTGAAGACACTAACCCCCTCTATCGTCAGATTTCTCAGAGAATTCTGGTAAAATCACCAAGGTCAAAATCACTCCGCCGCCAGCTTAAAATGAGATTTCCCACTGAACTTTGACATGTTTTCAGATAAATCAGGACCTACCTTATAAATATTTAGTCCCAATTCACTTCCCAAACGCCAGATGGCGCTCCAATGGGGTAGGAAAGGAGAAAAATGACTTTTTATACAGAAAACCAAATCACTAACGGTAAACGCTAGTGTCCTTACTCAGGACTATATCCTTAGACAATGTGCCATGTTTAAAGTATTCACATATTAAATATGAACAAAATCGCTCCGATACGTTTCGAGTTATAGTAAAAAATGTAATGACAGCCATTTTTAAAAATGGCCGCCTACTACGCGAAGTGTCATGAGACAGTGTGCGAGACTCATGAGTATTCAAATGTCAAATATGAACAAAATCGCTCCACTACTTTTCAAGTTATAGTAAAAAGCGTAAAATTGGTGGCCATTTTTCAAAATGGCCACCTACTACCCAAAGTGTCATTAGTGCCATGCTTATAGTATTCACATATAAAATATGAACAAAATCGCTTTACTACTTTTGAGTTATAGTAAAAAATGAAAAATAGCAAATGTAAAAATGGCGGCCATTTTTCAAAATGTCCGCCTGGTACCCAAAATGTAATTAGACATTGTGCCATGCTTTAAGTATTCAAATACCAAATATGAACAAAATCGCTCCACTACTTTTTGAGTTCCATAAAAAATGTTAAATATCACACGTAAAACCTATAGTCCATAAAGACACTTTCAAGTCCTCCCTTTGGTATCCCTTGAAGATTTGCTCAACCTGTTGAGATCAGTCCTTCATCGGAACCAAACCTATGATGATCTATCACTATCATATGATGCTCCAACAGTCAAATTTAGTGAACCTAATGGTGGTTTCATCTGGTGAACTATATATGGTGAATATGGGGCATGAACAACTTGTGTGAACCCTAATTCTTCAAGGGTAGTATGGACAATTTGAGGAGTGGGAAGAAGCATAGTCATAATGGAAGATAACTACCCCCTATTTCGAGTCGTGATAGTGACTTTGAGAGTCTGGCCAATGATAAGAAAATTGAGCCAAGTACACTTTTATATCACAATACAGATGTTACTTTAGAAACTAAAGTTAGAAATATTTGAAAACATGAAAAATCACTGAAATTTATTAATTAATTAACTATACTTTTGGATCAAGTAAAATAAAAATGAATTCAAG